GGACTGAAAGTGCGCTGACGGTTACATCGACCAACTCGTGGAGAATATCCTGCCTTCATGTCATCGCCTGTACCTTCTTGGAAACTTCGTACTGCTACAGGATTGGGTGCCTCCACACGGAATCGAAGGGCGTTGGAAAAACTCTCGCCTACTTGGAATGGAAGGGCGTTGAGTACCTGAAGAAGACGGAATATCCAAGTGTGTCACCTGACCTGAACCCCTCGATTACCGGGTTCGAGCGGAGCTCAACAGGGTGGTCTACAGTGGCGGAGAAATCAACGACCTCGCTGAACTCAGGCACCGAATCTCGATGGCGCTCGTCCAGAAGGCTGTGGCGGAGTATCATGATAGTATACAATATGCTGTTGAATATGGTGGTGGAAATGTCCAATCAGAATTCAATAAAGTGAACTTATATCGCCTTGAAAGTCGAGGAAGAAAAGTGTCTTCCCTTGGCCCCTCCTGTATGGTATGCCGAAGGCTTTGACTGTTACGTACCCTTTCATGCTTAATATGAAGGAAGAATGGCCACGTACTTCATGTCAACGTAACATTAAACGCTTCAAAAAAACTCACGATCTGTATTGTTCTGCTGCATATGAGCGGTACGAAAAAGTGTATGGAAGCGAACACCATGTTGAAAACCAGCGAAGTTACACGATCGTCAATCTGATATGGCTTGATTTATTACAGTTTCGGAAGCAAACGATTAACCCCAATTCAGAGCTTCTTGGGCGGGGTTGCTTGAAGAAAAAATAGGAAGGAAGCAATCGCTTCGTCTGCCATTTCTGCGAGATAGTCGAAATGTGAAATGGCGGAAATGATTTGGAAATTGCGGGGTACAACGGGATCAGCCGCATATTTTTATCTATTCAGGGAAGCTTTTCTTGTGATACCTACTCGATGGTTTCCTACTTACTAGGGAAGGTCGTCAGGTCGAAGTGGCCATTTGTAATGAGATGTAGCTCACTAGACGTGGTTTTGGACGCTGATCTCGAATCTGCCTTCGAAATTTGCAGAACGATTCTCTGAACGGAGTTATGGAGCTTTTTCCACCGCGTTTACCACGCAACAGGTCATGGGATCGGATCCCTGCTGAGCTTAACTTTTTTGCTTCTTGTGCAAACGTGGCAAAAAGTGGTTGTGGCGTCACTACTACATTAGCGCTCTCCTTGACTTGCCTGAAAAACAGTTTGCGTTCGCTTACTGCGCGTCTTACATGTAGAGAATTTTTAGACATGCTGATCATTGCCCTGGCGCAGCAGTGCAGACGTTTTCGCGCTGAGCGAGTGCCATATTCGTATTTATGGGGCGAACTACGCCTAGGTAGAGATTTCTAGCCAAATCTGCCATTTTGACCTGACTTCGACAAGTGAAGCATCCATGGGTTAGTTCAGTTGATGTTAACACCTATTCAGCTGCAGATACATTCTCCTGCAACAAAGACCCGATCTCCCTCTTCTACCGCACCCATTTTATTACTTGCCTCCGGTTTTCCTCGTATCTGGAACAGCATAATTCTGTACCAAAGGACAAGCACATCCGTCAAGAGACTGGCCTGACTATTGGTGACCATCATGGCATCATTCGATAAACTGCTACCGCACTTTTCAAAGTTAGGTCAAAACCTCACATCTGGCTAGAAACCTGTCCCCAAGGGTAGTTTTGCTCCCTGAACACGAATATGGCACCCATTTGGCGTTTGAGTGTTTTCTAGACTTAAAAGAGACATTCTCACAAAATGCAAAAACAAGCTTCTTCAGTGAGATCCAACCCTCTAGCGGCCCCGAGCAAGACGTTAGGCCACTACACATGCCCGTTGAGTCACTGGCGTTTCCCTCCCGGATTCAATGCGCAGGGGCTGCAATCGCCGTCAACTGATGTTTTTCATCATTTTAACACAACTCTTCATAAACTCCTTTCAATGACAATTCGTTCTGCCAAATTTTGAAGGCTAGTTCGAAAATCAGGTCAAAAACCACTGTCTATAGTCATCTCCTACAAAATGCCACTTCACCTGACTACCTTCCCTAGTCATGCTTAAAATGGCGGTGTAGGGCGCGGCTATGTCGGAAAAATGTTAAGACGGTGTGAACGGACAATAATCCTGCCGAAAAAACCCGCCGTTCTCAGGACTTGCAATCGCTTTGACGAGTTCGTAGGCCATCTACCAATCACCGCTAACCTAAAACAGGCTGTCATATGCTTACCCATTATGCATGCGCATCAGGCACGCTTCTCGACCTCAGGAACGGTCGTTCCAATGGCGTCGGGCGTGGGCGGGCGTTGTGGGACATTAAAAGTTGTTGCTGATAGAGCCCTTATATAGGCATATTCCTCGGAAAACCGCTCATGCAGCGTCTTCCCAGGTCGCTGAATCTATTCCGCCAGAGTATTATCTAGTCGCCTTATAGGGATTTATTCGTGCAACGACTTTTAATGCCACTCTGGAAGTGATCTCTAGAATGCTGAATTATGGCTCAAAGTCGTGACCCTAGGTGGAGCTCAAAACGTACCTCACGCCTCATGTAAGTGCGCTATCCATTTAGCCACCGGGGTCGCTCTTACCCTCTCAGCTTTTATGTCCCTGCCTTACAGCACCCACTTGTTCAAGGTGGTGAGTCGGTCATTAGATTCGTTAGATGTATTAGCTGTAGGAGAAAAGTTGCGAATTTTAGTTTCGCGCCACGCACTCAACAAACCAACCACAATTTAATGTTGAAGACCAATGCAAACAAGAAATAGGCGTCCAACACAGCTTAAATAGTTTTCTGGAAGGATTAACCATCCGTTGTCCAGGAATGGTCGATAACTGCTTTAACTTACAAAGCCAACAAGAAAGATGGTATCGCTGATTGGTCTCAGAATGCACAGCGGTGCTGCAAGCTTCCATTTCTGATTCAGCCCAAACCCGTAATCTGAAGGCAAGGTTGAGAGCTGAAACTCACACAACAATAGCATTCAACTCACCGATTGATTTACCAACAGCGACTTTAATGAATATAGCGAATAGCATCGGAATCGCCGAAAAGTAGCCGGTTTCCCGTACGGAGTAGTGGAGCACCTTAAGAAAATACACTTCACTCTGTTGTGCGAATGGTCTAATGTATTTCTTAGCTCTGGTTTCGAAGTAACAAGATGACTTTCTTTGTGGGAAGACGAGAAGTTCACGGGTCAGAGGTCAAAAATTTTCGATCTATCTCGTGGGTTAGGGCCATGCTATTTTTGTGGATTTTCGGGCCTTCAGAAGGTAACCGGTGACAAATGTCGTTGAGTGCCTCCATGAAGCCAAACTGCTCTCGAAGTTACTCATGCACATTGAGATATCGGCTATGTACGATCACTGCTAGGGAACCTTCACCATTTTTCCCCTTGTTTTTTCTTTTTTTTCCTATTCCTACACCTGAACTGACCTGCTTTATAAATGTAGGACTGTATAACTGATAAATGATCATGCCAATATAATAGCCAACGAACATCACTAAACTCGTCCAAATGGACACATCGGTGAGCAATGCACGATATGGTACCTTCCCAACATCGTTCAACACCTTACGTCCGTTTATAATCATGACAACTTCCTCATCGGATACAAATCTGTAATGAACGGCTATTCAAGACTAGAAAGTGGAGCCCAGAACATCAATCGTTTTGTCGCGAGGGGGATCTAAGAGAATTGGACTGTTCTGTGAAATGTTTTTCCTAAAACAAAAGATTGGCCTCATTCTGGTGGGGTGTAACCGGTAACTGGAGGAAATTTCCCAAGGTAACAATCTCCCTATTAGCACTACTCATTTGTTTTCTACGTCATTTTTTTCGCAATATGAGAAAGTGTTTCATCCTGTACCCTCGGAACCGACTTCCCTAATCTATTTCTTCTATTCTTTTTCTTCTATCACTCTGGCTCGAAAATAAGTGCTGAAGAGGTCAAACTAAAGGAGAAGCCTGAGGACAGCCCCCCCGACACCGGACCCCCTTCCACGACGATATTACTTTGAAGCGGCAAGCTCAGTTTAAGGACAAGGAAAAAGACGCCTTCAGGTCCAATCCGTGCCAGAATACAGCATCGGTGCGTGAAACACATTGGGTGGGGTCGTACTTGGCTGCTGGGGAGCGGGGAGGGGTCGTATTTGGTCGTTGTTGGGAGAGGGGGGTCGTATGTGGCTTTGAGAGAAATTTGCCGTGTTGGGAAAAAATTTTCCCGGTTGTTGACTTTTCGTGATTTTTCCTGTTTCATGTGTACTATATACCTCCAACCCCCTCCCTCCTTCCTCCCCCTTCGACAGTAGAATTTTTGGGTTAAAAACTAGAAAATGTGTTGGCAAACTGGTAGGTAGGTGTTGGGGAAGG